ACCATTTTGCAATTTTCACGATAGTTAAGAGATATTAATTTTTAAAGATAGCCGAAAGAGAGTAAAATTATAAACAATAACATAAGATAATTTTAAGATCTCCTTGAGAGTTCTTTATAAAATATCTTAAAGATATTTCTTAAAAAACTTTTAAAGATGTTTAAAATATCTTAAAGTTATTGTGCGATTATATGTATAGACACTTTGTTTAACACATCAGCGTTTTGTCAAAACTTATTAAATACCGCGCGCGCGCGCGCGCGCGTGTGTGTGTGTGTGTGCATGTGTGTGGTGTTCGCGTGCGCGTGTGTGCGCGTGCGCGTGTGTGCGCGTGCGTGCGTGTGTGTGTGAAACACTGTATGTGTATGCGTGTGAATATATAAAACACTGTTCGACAAAAATTGATCTTTTTTTGAACACTGGAACGAAGCAGCTCATTCCCATAATTTAGAACGCTAAATATCGATTCCGATTTTTGAAATTGTACTAGCACGTCACATATTGTAATTAATATAACAAAATATCTAAAAATAGCTCTTTTTTATAACTTTAACTGTCAATTTCTTAAAATTGTAATGTGATGAAACAATTTAAAAAGCGGATTCGTATTCAAAAAATTACGAAAAATAACTGGTCTCGTTTTAATGTTTTGTTTTGTAATTATATTTAAAAAAAGAATTAACAATAAGATATAATATTCATTTAAAGTATCAAAAGCCAAAATAAAAGTATATTATATTACCGAAGACCGGTAATGTTGACGCATGTCTGGTAAAGGAAACGAAATGTCTAAATTTCTTGTATCCTTTATTGGAACAATGTACCACATAGTGCGGAAATGTTCATCCTTGAATGGATGTTCAGGCCATATTGGAACTTCAATTTCCTTGTTTCGTACTTCACAAAACAGATCCACTACCATATTTTCAAGTTCATCTAAACTCTCTAAATAAAAAATTTATTTGTTAATATAATGTATAGTAATGTTTTCAAATGTTCTAATCATAAATAATCACTTAGATTCAATAAATTATCATCGTACCTTTGCCAAGAACAGACAGTGACATAATATTTGCAGAATAATACTTTTCATGAAACTCTAGTAGTTTATTTCGAACATTAATGCCTTTTTGTTTTGGTATTGTGTCTAATGTTTCTCTATTTCCTGTGCCGAATTTCGAAAACGGATGATCTGAACTCGCAGATGATTTGTCTAATTGATCAAATCGCCATGTATCATTCGCTACATTTTTCTCGTGTTCTGAATTTATGGCATTTAGTTCTAGCTCAGTCAAGTTCTCCGTAAAAAGAGGCGCTAAGAAAAATTGAGCAAAACGATCTAAAGCGCCTTCTAATTTCTCGGGAGTTACATCGAAATAATAGGTGGTGTGATCTAAATGTGTTGATGCGTTACTCGTACCACCATTCTGTGATAGAAATATATTATAATCATTCTCTTGAGGATATTTCTTCGTTCCTAGGAACAACATATGTTCGCAAAAGTGCGCTAATCCAGGTAGGTCATCTGGATCGCACATATAGCCTGTAACACATATTTTATCTCTAAACTTTGAATTGATTAATAATTTGATTATTAATAAAAATATGTTAGTTCCATCACATTATAAAATACAGCTAAAAATAAAAAAATATTAATAATATAAAATGATTAAGAAAAATATACATAGACGGTAAAAAAAATCAGAATATTAACCTCGTAGTTTAAAGGCATAGAACAATCGTACGGAATGCATAAGATCCGAGTTCGATTTTCTCTATATGGCTGCGGTTTGGACGCTTTCAGTGCTTTTCAATACTTCTATTCTTATTTTATGTCTAACGAACGATAAAGACAGAATAATGATTACAAGCGCTTAAAGCGCATGAGTGTCCAAATCGATCGCAGCCTGTATTTATTATAATTTATAATATGCACAAAATGATTTTATAAAAATGTTCTTATGAAAATCGCTAGAAATATCGAGTAAAATAGCAAAATAATATAATTACCGGCATTAATGTCCATTGCAACAGCACTTTTATCAGTTGTTGAATCGCTTATTAAAATAACTTTCATTTTATTAGTGAGTACTAAACCTCTATATAATCGGTCATCATTTTGTGATTTTATTATATCATCACATCGCTTTTCCACACGTTCAGTCGACATATTGGTCATCGCAATAGATTCAGAAAATTGATTTCTAAACATGAAGAAAATGCAAATAAAAATTTTAAGAATGCATGAATCTGTTAATCTATTATATATCGCTATGCATCAATGATGCTGAAAAATATTCTAAAACTAGAGCGGGATTCCGTTATTTTTAATCTCTTAATGTAATACAAAATTTACAGCAATAAACAATATCTTTTTGCAATAGTGCTTTTATAACTATACATCATGACTATTTCTTATACATCATGACTATTTCTTAAAAGCACAAGTATAATTTTTAAATGTTCAGTATACGCTGCTCAGAAACATAAACAATATCATGAGAAATGGATGAAATATAGTTGTACTCTATATATTAAATATGTATAAATAACAAAATAGTACATAAACTCTTACATGGATTATAAAGTTAAGTTTCCATAATTTATTATTATTAAGACAAAATATTTTCTCTATTCTCAAGTCAAGTTTTTGTGTCTATTTCAGATTTCTTTATCTCAAGTCAAGTTTCCCTTCAATTTCCATTTATGTTCTAACTGCACAGGTGCAAAATAAAAAACATAGTATGCTTTGTCTTTGTCATTCATTTCCTTATTCCATTATGTTTAAATGACAAACATACAAGTAGCAAAATAACACAAAGTTAAAACAAAGGAAAACTTAACTTTAGATAATTGATAAAAAAAGCCAATTGTGTGTGTGTGTGTGTGAGAGATAAAAAAATCAACTGATAACAATATATCACTAGAAAATAATTTTAGTTGAAGATTGTAATACTTTACTTAATACTTTATTGTGGATGTATTTATATGCATGTAGCAAATTTAAATTAAAAAAATATAAAAATTGTATCGCGGTAAAAAATTTTTCATATGGAGTATATATATATATATATATATATATATATATATATATATATATATATATATATAGGAAAAAA